GTTGTATAGGTTCTTAAAAATTGCTATTACACTACTTAAGTACAGGAACTAAATATTTGTACTTCCCACCTCTGTCTCACTTTAGTTTGCTGCAACTTTAAGCTAGCACCACTCACTCTGAAAACAAATAAATCATAAATATTGGGATTGATTAGGATAATAATTGGGTCAAAAGAAATGACACCCACATTTCCCACAGGGGAATTGTACAAAAGGAGAGAGGTGAGGGGGCAAAAGGAATTTATAGTGGGGACCACAGAAAAAAAAAATTAACAAGGAGGGGCTCTGAACGTCAATACGTCTGCCTGGAGTTTGGACATCCACCCAGTCAAAAATAATCTATAACCAAATACATTTTATGTAATTATAATAAAAGCCACATATGACCATGTCATACCGGCTCAAATTCGCCATCTGGGCCGTTAGTGAAGGTGGAGTCTCGTCACCGTCACTGCTTTCCAGTCAAAAATATTTTTGGTCACGTGACTCAAACATGAGCCATTTCTGGCTGGTATAGATAAGAGTTTTTTATTTTAACTATGCCTCTATGAATATCTGGTGAAAACAGTCAGAGAGAGAGAGAGGGATTCTTGGGGTGAGTGTCTCGGTCTGAATTAATTTTCTGAATTTGTGAAGGTGGCATGTTAGAGTAAGTTGGCCTACATCCTCAAAGCTTTTTGAAAGAGATATCAAAGTAATTTTAGTTCTGGCTATTTATAGTAGGCTCAAATAGTTAAATTTTCCATGGCTTATTTTTGTATCTTTGATATACAATCTATGTGTGCAGTTTATTTTTATTCTCCTGATGATTTTTTTTAATGTTCCAGTTGTTGAATTTACAACTCTCAGCAAAGTAAGATCCTAATTAAATAAAAAAAGGCAGTAGGATTCTTCAGTGAGGGCTTCCAGCTGTACACTATGTGGATGTGTGTGATGAACAGAATCCTTGTTCAGTCTGAGGATATTGATCACCTGCTGTCTCTGCATCTTTTCCAGGCCTGAGTCAGTGGAACATGTCGACCCTGCGCTTTGGACAGCATCTCATCAAAGCCTCGGCTGTGTTCCTGCAGACAGAGCTGTCCTTTGCTCTGGTCAACAGGAAGCCTGTGGTGCCTGGACGTATCTTTTCATTACTTAGAGGTGAGAGGTGGGCCTACTGAGCTTAGTATTGTTTGTGAGTTAAAAAGTGTAACACCTGAGAGACCCTCTGAGTGATGAGTGGTCACTTTGTTACATGAAGCCTTGCTGTAGTTTGGTTAGATATTGTTGATGGATAGACAGATAGATAAAGGGGTAAATCGAGGAAGTTACCATATAGATGCCTGTTTTTCTTGAAGCTTCATGAGTGGCTACCTCTACAACCCACAACAACAACAGCATATAAACACATATTTAATCTACATAACTCTCCATGATTCTCATGCAACGTTTTGACATGGTTTACATATCTAATCGTGTAATGAAGTCAAAATTAAATCTTGAGTTCTTAAGGACCTCTCAAGGATACTCAGTGTGATAGTAATATAGCGATATCTTATAAACCTATTGTATTTTTAAAAATGCACAGGAATGCTTAATCAATATCTGAACTGGTTTGCACCAGCAGCTATGTGTAAGTTCTCACCTAAGTTGGGGTGTAAAGTTGACACTACAGGCTCAGTAACTGCTAGTTAGTTTTTACTAGATCAGCTATTAAAATCTGTTGCAACATGATTACTTGGGGCAGAACCCAACTAGTATAGTTTGAACTAAGGCAAGTGGTCAATCAACACTCAAAGATTTATTTATGATTTACAGTCGATCTGTAACTATTTAGTTGTTACTTTAAGTTGTAACTTATCTCTGTGGTGAACTGCTTTTACTTTAGTAATGCATAAAGGACACAACCATTTATGCTAGAGCAGACTGAGCAGCATAAGCAACATTTGGAGGTTGATTGTACCTTATAAAAGATCATATTCAGTTTGATTCAGCTCTTAAAACATTTTCCAGCGATATTTGCCTGAATGAGAAAATTTCAAAAATATGAATAAGGTGCAATTCATGTGATTTTGATATCAGTGAGATATGCTGCTTGAAATAGACATTTCACGTCGGTGGCTGCGTGCCTCAGCTGTAGCTGTTCAATAAGCAGGATGACATACAGCAGGATGGTCATTGTTGTGTATGAAGCCCTCACACAGTTGCCAACGTGACCTTGGCATTGTGTTGGCATCGAGCATCAGCCTGTCAGCACTTATTTTCCACTAACAACGGCTGTCCTATAGTCTCTAGGGAGATGACTGATTTGACCTAATGTTTCAATGAACTAAACAAAACGACTTGAGTTTGAAGTAACTAGCTTTACCCTGGTACAGATACTTAGTTGCTCATACAGGATGGTTTTACAGTGTTTTAAAAGTTAAAAGTGTTGTCCAAATGATGGATAAATGGCACTGCTAAAATGTGCTTGTTTGACTTAATGTACTTTCTAATTTCTAATGAAGTTGTTATGTAAGTCTGGAGAAGTAAGAGTGAGTAAAATGTTTAGCACTACAGGCTCTCAGACCGATAGAGGTGCTCAAGAAAGGAGAGGAGGATTCTAGATTCCACCTCTCTGTTTAGTTGGTCACAGGAGAGAATCCAGCAGCTTCAGGGCTTCATATTGTCAACTTTGTAGAATTTTAATACTCTTTAACTGCTGTTTCCTCCCACACAGCTTCCCTTGTTGCATGAGTGTGTGCTTGCATTTACAGTGTCACAGCTGAACTAGTGTTCATGTGTTGAAAGGTTTAAGACTGCACAAAGACTAATATTTTCCTTTACGTTTTGGCGTCTCATACACACTCAAACCAGTTTTTTTTTTTTATGTTTTATTCTGTTTCTCACCTTCATAACCAGCCCTCTTTCTGAACTCTACACACCTTCCAGTACTCTCAGATCCACACCACACCAGCTTTCCACCAGACTTCCCTTTGTCTTGAAACTCCTCTTTAGACTCAATAGGGGACAACTTTGTTTTGAATGGCTAAAACCACAATGAGTTTTGTACTTATAAAGATTGTACACCTAGGTTCTGTATCAACTTCCTTTTAAAATGTGCCTGTAAGGTATCCTTGAGTGTGTTGAAAGGCACCTATTCATAAAATGCATCCTTTTTATTCTGTATTTCTTTTATTATTTAATTTCTTCTTCTTATTATTATTATTATTTGAAAATGCCTTCTAAGGTGCAGACTTTTTAAAAACATTTCTGTGTATCTGTGTGGACAATGATGCATTTGGAAAATGATGACTTCATCACCTGTATTTGCACATGCGCATGAGCCCTGCAATGATAGACTACCAGTTTGTGTTTGTCTGGTTAGCGTTGCTAGGCTGTGTTTTGGAAAGGTGTTAAATAAATAAAGGAAATAGCTATCAAATAAATATATAAATTAAAGAAATGGCTATTATAGTTTGAATTTTAAAGTCATTACTTCTAAAGGAATATACAGTAAGCTCAGAATGTTCTTCTGTAGTATTGAACGTAGACTTTATCGCCACCTATTAGCCCAGCTTCCTAGATGAGCATTTTGAATAATTTTTGCATTCTCATCTGGATGGGGATGTTTTATAAAACAAATGTCATGTGAACAGATTCAAATATATAATCTGTATATGTGGCATGCAAACAATAACTCAGTTTCTTGTACCTCTGACCACCGCCAACATCACAGCTGAGTGTGGTCAGGTGTCGTCTGTTATACTTGGAGCTGCAGTGATGGAGCTGCACAGTGTACAAAAAGCACTCTGTTACAGCTGTGAGACTAGGTGCAGTTACTCCTTTCTTCTTCTTTTTATCTTTTTTTAACATTCAGGAGCTGAAGGGTTGTGTTTTAGCAAACAGTAAAATATAGTAAAAAAACAACAGATCATATTCTTAACTGATTTTAACCTTTTTGAATGAAATACTGTCTGAAGGCATTACTAGTAATATTACAGTATTAATATTACTTTGCCTAGTAGTGTAACTTATTACTCACAAAAAAATGAATAAAGTAAATACATAAATAGTTACAGTCCAATCACATCTATGGATTCATTTTTGTAATCATGGAGAAAGCTAATTTTGAAGATGGAAACACTGACATGCAGAAGCTGGAAATATTCCATTAGTTTGATTTCAACAAACAAAACCACAGTTTAGGTGTGAAATTGTGGGAGAAGGGACATTGTTGAGTCTAACACTGCTAATGATTCCAATCACTTCTGTTCTGCCACTTTCTGAGCAGAAATAGGAAGAATTACACTCTTTGAGCTACTAGATTGCTTTTAATGTGCAGCGTATGTGTAGGAAGTGTAGAGTTTTTTCGACTGTAGCTCAACAGTTCTTAAAAGGAACATGACTGAATGTGACTGGGAATAATTAGCGAATGAAAACAGGATTGCTTTTAGAGATGATTCTGTTGTAAACATATACCATTTACTTGCAGATTATAGCCAACTCCAAACCTAGTTTGTAGGTTTAGCTAGGCCTGATTGACTCACCCCTATTAGGGACTGTACTGCAGAAAATGCTTTACAGCTCAATGCTAATAAATCAGAGGTCCTGGTTATTGCTCCAGAAGTGGTCACCCCTATGATCATGCAGAGCATTGGACCTCTTTCCTCTGCAGCCCACTCCAACCTGCATAATTTAGTGGTAGTATTTGATCAATACTCGTCATTTGACATCAATAAGACCAGATCTTGTCTTTCCACCTTAGAAATGTTGGTAAACTGAGATCAGTAGTTTCACCTGTTGAGTTAGAGATGGTTGTAGATGCCTTTATCTCATTTACTACTGCATGCACTTTTCTCCTCAGGCAATTCAGAATGCTGCCACATGACTCCTCACTACATCAAACAGACAGTCTCTCATTACGTCTGTACTTAGATCTCTTCACTGGCTCCCTGGCTCCTGCATATATAACTACTGCACCCTTATGTTTTGCCCTGCTCCCCGCTCCCTAGTAAAATGTGCTCAATTTACTGTCTATCCCACACACCTGCCTTAAGACCCATGGCGATCAAGTTTTTGAGGCAGTAGCACCTCCTCAGAGAATGTTGCCTTGCATACGTTACTTACTTGTGCATTTTGTCCTTAAAAAGGATACAAAATGGTGTGTTTCTCCACTTAAATTTCAACCTGCCTCTGACTGGGGGTAGAGAGAGGGGGGATGATATGCAGCAAAGGGCCGCAGGCTGCAAGGACTCAACCTATGTGAGACGTGCACTTGCGTATCATGCGTCCCAGGCTGGATTCTCTATGCCGTTTCTGTGTCTGACTTCCTGCCAATACGATCTGCTCTGTGCTGCTTGACACCAGTGGAGCACAACTTCCTTCAGAAATAGAGCAGCCATGGAGAGAAAATCCCAGGATGCACTATGGCGCTTCTGGTGGAATTTCGAGCATTGCCTAAAATGGGAGTGATCAGCTTCGGCAACCTTGGCCGTGCCTGGTGAAATTTGTGGTTACGGTCTGTGGATTCTGTAGATTCTTTCAAAGGGCAGCTGAAGACAAACTGTTTAGACAGGCGTTTGGACAACCTGTGTGCACCACCTCTGCATTTTATGTAATTATTGTGTATTTTTATTGAATTTTTATTTTAGTATGCATCGTGGCTCCTGTCTTGATTGCTGTATATTGCTTCTGTAAAGCACTTTGTGACTTATGTCTTTATTATAATTTACAGTAACAGTCTATAAGCCTGTAACGGAATGGAGTGAAAACCAAACAACTGAAGGTTCAGAGGGTTAATGCAGGTTTCAATATCACAGCATCAGGCCTTAATTAACATCAGAGCAGTGCAATGACTCTGCTGTCTCTGTCCATTCTCCACCATCAGTTTGATGTGCTGTTGTGTAACGTAGCGTCCCTGACTGCAGAAGTCTTTCACCGCCAATATCTGTCTCATTGTTTCTCTCTGACTTGACTTGGACTTTCGCTGCTCAATGGAGCACTTCCTAAAGCCTCCTGTTGTTGCCTGGCAACAGATGCTGTGTTTGCTGTAGTGAACCTGCTCTTGATATGAGGCTATATAAGTAGTTGTTTACCACACACACACACACACACACACACACAAGTTCACAGACAATAACAATAGCTGCTGAAGGTTA